CAATTTCAAGAAGTTTTTTTAATGATTTCTCTCTTTGATTTAGTTAAATAAATATTCATCCAAAGCATATGGCTCTGAGGAAAAGATCTAACAAGTTAAAGAAAGTAATGTTAGATTACATCATCATGAAAAGTGGAACACAGAGCAAAAAATGTGTAACTCTTACTAGTTAAAATGAAGAATCTAGGCCAGCACCTTTAATTATGTTTTTTATTTAAGAGGGAGAAAATTTGCTTTATCACCTTTACATATAATTAATGCAGAGTATTAAAAATCAATGTCAAAGCAAAATCAAGGATCAGATTTAAAGCCACAAATGCAAGAAAACTATCGTTAAAGACTATTCTTAACCCATTTCATTTTGTATAGATATTTTAGAACACAAAATGGTATTCTGTTATTAATACCCATTCATAATTTCATATCAATTTATGTTACTAATGTACAACAAGAAAATATAAGGGATTGGCTCTGCATTTAAGACTTCCATAGATGCTATGTTTAACAGAAAATGCATAAGCACCACAGATGAATAAAAAAGAAGGTTACACTCATGAAGCCCAATCTTCAACATGAGTTTTGTTAAGTGAGAACTGCAGGATCTGGCAATGAACTCTAAATTTGCTTGCCTTTGGGACTTTCAGTCAGACTCTTAGCTATATTCGTGTATGCACCAGCATGATCCTGATCTACAAAACCAACGAGAGTTTTGCCATTGACCTCAACAGAGGCAGGATAAGTCTTATATTTTCCTTGTTTAATTTCCTTGATCTTTCTTTATGGGTATTTTAAAAAGAAAAAAAAATGTTCCATTGCTCCATTATGGTGTCTGAAGGCCACATATCTTATCACTAGATCTATAATGGTGTGCTATTAAATCTTGGTGCATTTTTGTATGGTGCACTCACACTACTATATCATCACAATTCTTTTGAACTCTTAGGGCACATCTATACTTATCACAAAATCGATGCTCCAGAGGTCGATCTGATATATACCTGTAAATCAAGTGCCAAGGGCAGCCCTCACTGGTGTCTGGTACTCTTCCTTTTTCAAGGAGTAAAGGAAACCGATAGGAGCACTTGTAGACCCTGCCATGGCTCAGCTTAAGGTAAAATGACTCCACCTACACATTTTGTGCAGTTGGAATTATGTACCTTAAACTGACCTTCCAGGTCCTGTGTAAACCTGGCCTTACAGATTTATTAAATGGTTTCATGCATAGTGACAAGAATACTCCAAATATTCTGCATGGCAGAGGTTTATTCACTTTTGCACGTTATCCTAAGTATATATTCACAGTAAAATATTTAAGTTATCACAGTGTCTTCTGAAATATGTAACACAAGTAACATGTAATAAGGAACTATATTACAACTATTAACTATGCTAGTACAAACTGCCACTTAAATATTTAAAACTTTAGAGCAGTATAGGCCATCAATCATCTACAAAATTTCATTTTAAACTGGAGTGCCTATAATGGGAATCTTAACAGGTCTTTAAATATAGTAATTCTATGTAGTACAATTACATCAGCACAGACTTTACATTTCTGAACAAGAAAAAAAGGCAATCGAATGAAACACCTCTACAAAATGAAGGCCAAAAAATAAAGCCCACTTACTCTCTGTGAAGGGATTTCTATGACATGCCTCTTGCACTAGGCACAGAAGGTATGTTCCTCATCAGTCAGTTGCCCTTGGAGTTAATGGAGAGCTCTTTTCATGAAGGACTGACCTTTTTATCCGGTGGGTTGAGGCAGTATGTTTTGCTGTCTTAGGGGACATCATTATGGAGAGGTGGCAATAGCATGTGTGTGCATGTGGGTATCAAAGGAGCTGGAAAAAGATGCCTTCCTTATTTCAGCATACACGGAAGTCTCTAGGTATACCACATACCTATTAAATACTAAATTAATACATGTCATTAAAATATACTAGGGTTTGGTATAGGAAGGACCTCCAGGATCATCTATATTTTATTAAGTGCTTTTTAAAGCTTCAAGCCTATTGTCAGCATTCAGTAAACAATAATAGGGAGATGTAGTGGTCCCAGGATAAGGCATGCATATCAATAAATGTGTTTTTCTTTTCATAGAGTCATAGGGTTAGGAGGAACCATAAGGGTCATATAGTCTAACTCAGTGCCAAGATGCAGGATTCATGGTGCCTAAAACATCGAAATATCCACCTTGCCTTTGGTCATTAAAATGATTCTTGAGCATTTCACCCAGCCCTGAAACTTGGAGTGGTTCAGACATTCCAAACAGTACGCAAATCCACTGCCCGGTGCAATTTATTCTGCAGCCTCCTCATTCCATACGCCTGAGACTGCACTGGGGAGACAGGAGTCTGTCCCAATCCCATCCCGCAAATTGCCTCCGGAAGAGACATGGTGACTACTGGCCTGCCTGCCTATTTCTGCTATGGGCATGGTGGCCTCTGTGGGCTCCCAGCTACCTGGTGAGTTGCTCATCTTGCAGCTGGGAATACACAGTGCACAGTGTTGCCAAGTCTGCCTTTTTCCTGCAGATCTGGGCAATTTTAAAATGCCAGTTGCAGTTTGTTTTATTTTTGAATGAGAAATGGGTTTGGGGCTAGTTTGTTGATAGACTGCTACATTTTGGGCTGGGATCAGAACGAGGGAAAAGGGGGCAGCCTGTGCTGTGAGAGTCCCTGAGGAGTTGGAAAGGGGCTGTGCCTGGGATGTGTGTATGTCCTCCAGGGGGAAGGAACTCAGTTAGTGGTCAGTGCCTAGGGGCAATGTGGGGAGGGAGAAGGAATAGTGCCTGTGCTGTGAATCCTATGGAGCAGTGCCTGGGGTGTGAGAGTGGTGAAGGGCGATAGTGCCTGTGCTGTGTGTCCTGGAAGAGGGAGAGTGCTTGTGCTGTGTCCCAGAGGGGGGTAGTGCCTCTACTGTGTGTGCGTGTTTGTGTGTGTGGGGGGAGGGGGATGCTGGAGCTG